TCATCTTCCTTCTACCTATTCTTTCAAAAGTGAGGTGTGCAGGCTCCCCATGCCTACCCCTGCTCCCTCTTTATCTTTTACAGGTCTTATCCCCATAAACAGCTGGAATTCTAAATCCATCTTGACATCCACTTCTCCCGGTGACCCAAACCGACACAATGACACAATGTGTTAATCAACACCCCTTAACCTGTCACTTTTTTCATCACCCAGTTGTTGAAATGGAACATCTTCTAAGAATCCTGTGGGAGTTAGCCTCTTCTCCCACCACCAACAACCTTTATTGAAAGGATGAGTTCAAGCCAGAGTTGACAGTTCGTGTTTAGGATTGAGGACAGACTTGCCATCGTGGTACCATCAAATATCATAGAAAATGTAGCTGTGATGAAAAAAACTAAAGGCCTTAGAGCTAGTCTGCTGCAGATATGGAGAAATAAGTAAAGAAGAAAATGATAGGATCATCATTCTGGAAGATAGTTTGACAGCTTTTTAAAAGAACTGAATAGACTCTTATCATAGGAGTCACCAATCATGTTTTCTTTGTATTTATCCAAAGGAAAATATTTTGTGTGAAAACGTGTCCACACAAAATCTTGCACACAGGTGGCTATAGCAGCTTTATCTCTAGCAATCAGAGACTTACAAATCAAAACTACTCTAAGATTTCATCTCACTCTAGTCAGAATGGCAATTATCAAGAATACCAGCAATAATAAGTGTCGATGAGGATGTGGGGATAAAAGTACACTCATACATTTCTCGTGGGACTGCAAATTGGTGCAATCACTATGGGGCAATATGGAGACTCCTCAGAAAACTTGGAATGGAACCACCATTTGACCCAGCAATCCCACTCAGTTTATATCCAAAGGACTTAAAAGTCAGCATGCTACCGTGACAGAGCCACATCCATGTTTATAGCAGCTCAATTCATAATAGCTAAACTATGGAACCAACCTAGATACCCTTAAACAGATGAATGAATAAAGAAAATGTGGTATACATACACAATGGAATATTATTCAGCCTAAAGAAGAATGAAATTATGGCATTTGCAGGTAAATGGATGGAGCTGGAGAATATCACACTAAGTGAAATAAGTCAAATCCATAAAACCAAAGGCCAATGTTTTCTCTGATAAGCAGATGCTGATCCATAATGGGTGGGGCAGGGGGAATAGGGAAGAAAGATTGTGTAGAGGAGAGTAAGGGGAGGGGAAGGGAAGGATGTGAGGATGGGAAGGATGGTGGAATGAGACAAACATTATTAACTTATATACATGTATGATTACACTACCAATGTGACTCTGCCTCATGTACAGCCAGAGGAAGAACTGGTGCTCCATTTGTGTACAATGTGTTAAAAATGCTTTCTACTGTCATGTATAACAAGTTAAAACAAATTTTAAATAAAAGACTTACAGTTAATATTAAACCAATGCCATTTGTCCTTATTCCCACTTGCTGGCATCATACATTGATATATAAGAACAGGGGTCTTGAATATCATAATGCTAATAGTTTTCCCCCTTTGTGTTTGTAATCCATGATTTTGCAAACCCACCAAAATCCAAGGTGCTTTGATACCTATGTTGCTAAATTATAAAAGACAAGTGTGCCAGGTAAACTTCAAATTTCAATTAAATTCAATAAATGTTAACTAAACTCCTGTTATGGGCTAAGAAATATGCTAGCTCCTGAAAATAACAACAATGAATGTAACCCAATGAATCAGACTTTAATACAACATCATTCTATAGGAAAAGCCTCTCTCTCTCTCTGTCTCTCTCTCACACACACACACACACACACACACACACACACACAATAAGGTATCAAATTTATGAGTACTTAATTATTTCCATTCAGTATTATGAGAGACTGTGTGTTTGCTCTAACTGGGCAGCAATGATTACATGTGAGATCTAAATAAACCAATTATTCTTTGAGTTTATAGTTTCAAATGCATCAGGTCTATGTATTCAGTTGATCTATGAATTCCTTGTAGGTAAGCTCTGTGTTTTATTTTGTTACTCTCCAGAATCAACGCAGGACTGGGGTTACTTACCATGCTGGTAGACTGAGCCTCAGGACACAAAGCACTGCAGTAGCCAGAGGCTTCCATTCGCTCATAGAGTGTTTAAACAGTTTATTTTCTCATGCAGTATAATCCAGACACCAAAAATGTCAATGTTGAGATACAGTTACTAGAGTATCAAATATTTTATTCTAATTGACATATGAATTTATAAAAATCATTTTAACTAATTCAGAATGAAAATAAGCCAAGCCAAACAGACCATGCAATTTGAAAGATTCTACAGATTCTGGAGCGTGTATGAAACGATTCATCATCTATTTATTTACAAGTCTTTCAAACACATCCTTGACCAATGAAGTTGGACACTTTAAAACACTACATTTTGAGTTAAAATTTGAAATAAACCAGTTTTTCTAAACATGGCAAATTAAAAAATACCTTAATGAATGATTTGGGGATTATACTTGTAAAAGCTACTCTAAGGCAAACATGACTTACTGGCTTATTTAATGTAATTTACCAAGTTCCCTGCAGTGTCTCACCTGTTCTTTTCTTGTGTCCCCATCCTGATACTACCTCCCTTATAATACCCAACAGTTGAAACAAGCCTTTAGTTACTTTTCTGATAAAAATCAGGAAAACTCAGCAAGCTTTCCCCAGTATTTGATCCTTTATGCCTCTTTGTCTCTTGTACAGCCTCTTTCCCAACCTCAGAAGAAAGAGGCCTCTTCTTGCTGCTAGGTCTGTCCCCTCCACCTGGCTTCCCATCCATCCCCACCATCAGGACCCTGTTCTATGAACCACCCATTTTTTTCTGGTGCCTTTTCTTTGGCATCAAATATTCTCTTCCATCCATAAAAGAAGCAGATGGGAAAGTCTTCCAAGAAGTCTTTCTTTACGTCTATTTATCCAGCCTCCCTTCTCCTGCTTCCACATTTTTGGAAATAAGCAGTTTTTTTTTTTTCCATGAAGCCTTAATTTTTTCACAGCTCCATCTAACCCCATGGCATCTGGAAGCAGCCAGGGCATGCATCACTGCTGTTCTGATTTTGAAGAGCTCAGTCTCACCAAAACTTGGGCTTTGAAGGCCTCACAACAGTGTCCCCACTACCCTGAGATCTGTGATCCCCACTTGCCAGTCTTCAAACTACCCTGCTCTACTGACTTCTGCAGGGGGCTCCTCAAGGTTCTGAGTCTGGTCGCTCTTTCTTCTACTGATCCCTCCACAGTCCCCTGCCTAAAGCCCAGCCAGGATCAGGCTCCTTCACCACCCAGAGGCCTTCATGCCTCTCTTTTGCCTGCTGACCAGATGAAGCCCCTCTAGCCAGAGTAGGCTCTCCCATGATGACCTGGTCTCAGCCTCATCATCGTTCCACAACCCCTCACCACACCCTGCAATCAACCAACCTCAACTATTTCCACTGGCTGCCCTGGCCTTTCCAACTTCTGTGCCTGGAATAACTTTCCTCATCCCCAGGAGAGCCAATCAGAATCAATCAGAACTTCAAAGACCAAATCATTACTCAGGCCTTGCCAGTCCAGAGCTTTTCCCTGAAGCTCTGGAAGCTTCTGTCTGAATCTCCTGGCATTGATCCTGTCCTTGGATTACCATCTTTCACAGGCTGCAGGTTCTTTAAAAGAGGCAGCCAGCGTGCTGACCTGGAAGAACCAGATGGACTTCGCTTTGAAGCCTCCTCTCACCTTTGTAGTGGCCACAACAGGTGACTTACCCTTTTTAATTGGTGACACCAGTTATCCCAGATAAAAGGCGAATATCCGTACTTCCTCATAGAATTGTGGTAAAAATTACAAAAGAGAGCAAATATGCATCTGGCACTTAAACATGTTTGTGGATTCTATGGTTTTATTTTTCTATCAGGGTCAAATTACTCAATTTAGGTTGGAGCTGTCTTATGATAACAAAACGGGGTATTTTTTCACTTGTTTTCTTTCTTTTTTTTTGGATAGGCTATAGATTATACATGTAAACATTTGAAAATTCTTTGTCTATTCTTGTTTTACTCTAGGAAAGCAGGAAAAAAACTGTTGTGTTAATTATTTTTTCTTGAAATGAAGAGGGAGGGAGTGAGAAAAGGAAAAAAGTGAGAAATGAAGGGAGGTTGGTAGGGAGGCAGGAGAGATATTTACTGCTTTTTATATGAAAGAAGTGGAATGTTATTCAACTGAAAACACAGAAGTACTTCCAAAACTCTGTATTTATAAAGCCCCATTCCTTCAGATTTCAAAAACACTGTAAACATAGGTCAGCCTGCAAATCAAATAAGTGTTTCTCATCTCCTCCCCACACTTCCTGAGGTAACCTGCTCACGCAGGACTGTACAGGAGCCTTCAGCCACCGCCTGTTTTCCTAACATGGCTTGGCAGGGAGTTGTGCACTTTGGCTCCAAAAGCCTGATTTCAAAGTGACCTGCCAAAGCGCCTCACAACTTAGCGCTGGGCATTCACTTGGCTGAGGAGGGCTGTGAGCCAGTTTGGGCTTTGGCTTTCTGCAGAAAAGTGTTATCCTAAGTAACCAGAGTAAAAGGAAGTGGGGAGGTTGGTTCTGATCATGCAAGTGAAGCTATTCAAGTTCATTATTTTCTAAGTTGCCCACAATGAAAACAGCAACTGTAAAGGTGAGCAACATATCACAGGTCCTAACTTCTAGGACTCAATTCCCTTTTGGGGATGCTGAAGACTTTCCCCACAAAGAAACCTGCAATACTTCCAACATTCCACAGAGCTTGGCTTTGCATCCATCACCCCAAGAAATTCTAAGACCTTCAAAATGTATGCATCCCTGCAAACTGGATCGCTGTCACATACTCATCCCTAGTGTTTGGCAAAGTAGTCCCATGTCACTGACTTAATTGGTGGCAGGTTATTTTCCAGTTGTCAAATAATCTTTTCCTATTTAGGAGTCAGAAATAGAAACATTCACTCATAAAGGAATTGGATCATTTGGAACATGAACAATATAAGTATTTATTTGAAAAAACATTTTCCATTGAAGTAAATCCACACATTGGCTGCAGTAGCTTCTTCTAATTATTTCCAAATTGTACTCACAGTCACTTTCATCCATCATGTTCAAAGGTATTGCTACAGAAAAACTGTCACAACTTTTTTTTTAGAAAAAATATACACAGTCTCTCTAATAGAAAGTTAATTAAAACAATAAAACTAAGCAATGTAAAGCTAAGATGTGAGACAGATTGACATTTGTAAACACAAATAAATAAATATGTACAAAAGAGTCTATGCCAACAACAGATAAGGAATAGCTTTACAATGCAAGCAATGGTGACAAGGATGGCAACTATTTCAAAACTTAAACTCTTGACACAATTCAGCTAAAAAAGGTGGAGAAATGAGAAAAAAAAAATAAAGAGTTTGAATTGGTATTCTTCTGGAAGGTGAGTGTACGTGGCTTTTGGCTCCCCAGTGAGACTGTGGCCCCAAGCTTCTGAGGGGCTAAAGAAAGGTGAGAAAGGAACAGAGGGTGGAATTTGGCTCAGTCTTTTAACTCTATTTGCAAATGTTTCTGTGCAGCTATTTCTCCATAGTTTTCCTTACCTGCTCATTGAAAATTTCTAAAGTGGAGCTGACATTGTTGTCAAATACAAAAATAAAATGTTTTCTCAGATCTGGATGCATATGAGAAGACATCAAAAGCAAAGCTATTTCTGAAGATATATCTTAATCACTATTAACTAACTATGCACCTTGTGCAGAGATCTCACAGTAGAAAGCTAATTAAACTCTATCATGAATGTCTAAGGTTTGGGGGAAGCATATGAATATTCAGTGATGATTTAAGATTAATTTTCATCTATATGTAAATTCTGGCACAATACACAGCCTGTTAATATATGCCTACAGAAAAGGATTTGGCTCTACTGTTGTGAATCTCAGTGACTTAAGGTTTACTGTCTTTTTCTCCTAAATGCCCCTCTCCCCTGTGAAAGCCAGCCTGGACTCAGCTCTTTTCTGCCAAGATGGTGTTCCAGGTTGCTGCAAAATGGAACAGTAGTAACAATTCACCACCAAACTCTCTCATTATCCTTTTGAGCTTGACTAGCTTCATGACTAAAGCTTAGCCAAAGAGGCTCCTTGAGTCTCTGCATAGCCTGCATGTCATCCTACATCTAAGAACAAGGGCTATCTGCTTTCTGTATAGAAGGTAAAGGCCCTAGGGGTTCAGTTCTGGCCTTTTTTTTGAGCCAACAGGCTCTGCCCAAATCCCTCCTTTCCTCCTCACTTAACTGCTGCTTCCCTAAACCTGATACCTCTCAGAGAATTCAGAAAGCTGTTAAGACCCAGCTTGCACTGAGGCCTATTGCTAAGAAACTGGATAAGACTCCATAATTTAACAATTAAGCTGTGGTCTCCTCTACCCTCATTACAAGCATGCATTCCTTAGGATGCTTTGAGAGTTAGGTAAGCTGTGTGATATTAGGCATGACTTTTATGCATCAGGCTGATCCATAAACACAACACCATCTATCTTGCCAGACCTCCTCAGGCTCTTCTATGTTATCATCAGAGGACTCAGTACAAATAGATTTTAGACTAGCAGTTGTAGATCCACACAATAAATTATTTTAATTAATTGAGATATCCACATGTCTGAGTTTATATTCCTTGGAACAAAATTCTCAGTAGGGGAAGAGAGAGGCCTTCATTTACTTAACTGGAAATATCTTAAAAGTCATTAGAGCAAGGACAGGACCACAACATCTCAAATGTGTGTATCCTAAAAGGACTTGTTACAGTGTGACTAACAGAAAATCTCCTCTACCCCATGAGCCTATGGGCTCAATATACAGTAAAGGGGGAACAGTATCATTGTTAAACAACCACAGGAGGCCCTGTTAATGGAATGTCATCACCAAGCCATACTTAAATGCATGGGATTCAATTATAGTTAATAACGAGGCTTAAGCTTTCTGTCTTGAATGGAACACAGAAATTCACACAGCCTTCTATTAACTTGGATAATATCTTGGGAAAACTTTCTTTCCAGGGTGTGTTGTAGTTATGAAAGTTATATATTTGATATTAAAAAAATCCCTTTTACTCTTAGGGTCAAATATTAAGCATTTTTTTTCTATTTGTGGTTGAAATTTCATTGAAAAAGAAAAAAAATGCTGATGCATTCACAGAAAGTAGCTCTGGAAGAAATCTGTTGGCATCCAAAACTGTTACAAATATTATTACACTTCTGATTGTTGAGAAAGATGATATAAAAATGGCTACATCCAGGCCTCACCAGGAGGTTGGTAGATGAATCTAAACTAGAGTTTGTCCTTGGCTTTGTTCCCTCCCCTGTTGTCTAATTTTAGTACCTTCCCCTGAGTTCTGATTAGTTTGATTCAATCATACATTCAAAAAATAATATCTCCCTGGCTTACTGAGTCATATTGCTCTCAGTACTGAAGTTCACTGATTATGGAAAGTCCCCCTTGGAAGAAATATACTGAAATGATGAATTGTAAATTTCACAAAAGCCTTCTTAACAAAGCACACCCCTCATCTGTATGCAGTTACCTAGGTAATAGCACATTTATATCTGCTAGTCATGGTTTACACTGCATGCAGATCTTCACACTTCTGGAAACTGATTTTCCTTTTTCTTATATTAAAGACATTAAAATTTTGTGCTGTGGCTGAAGGTGTCTGACATGATGATGTTTTTATAGAAGTTATCTGAATGAGCATTGCAATAACCCTTGACCTTATCAATGACCTGATGGACAGGGATGATTGATGTTTGTTCTCCATCAGCATGGGTCAGTTTTGACAAGGACTTGTCCATGGAAGCACTGTCTGCAAGAAATGACACGAGAAATTAGGCTTCAAGATAAGCTGGGGACACGCCTTAGGGGCACTATACTGTGCCCTCTGTTTTGCACATCAAGAAGTATACAAAGGAAATAAAGCTTTTTTTCCCCTTAGATTAGGTAACAGGCAGCACTAAAATTTTGCATTTTTCATCTTCAAAATGCACTCCTAAAATTCACTGAATGTCTATTTGCCTTCTAGTCATTTTTTGTGCTATGGTTTATTATAGGAAAATATTCTTGTAAGTAGCATATTTCAGTCAATGAAAATAATAAAAAACCTCTTCAAAAATGTATGCACCAAATGGCTCAAAAGAAATAATAAATTAGGTAAGAATGAACTAAAATGTTCTGAAATGTTCATGGTAGAAGTGTATGATATCTAACATAAAGTTTTCCAAATAATATAGGAAAATGGGCAGGGGAAAATGAGTTGATGGGAACACAGGGGTTCATTATACTATTTTCTCTACCTTTTACATGTCTGACATTCTTCATAATAAAAACTTTTAGAAAATAAAGGATTTTGGAGAATAAAAGTGAATAAAAATAAACATGAAAGTCTGCTTTGAAGACATTTTTCCCATGGCTTTTAGCTTGTGAAATGAATGGAATATAGCAAAAAGGACATCTCTTTATGAATTATTAATTGTAGAAGTCAAAACTCCCTTTATCAGAAGTATTTTAAAACTTTTTTTTGTTAACTTGCTACAGTTTCAGCAGCACTATTTCTAGCAGAAAAAAATATCAGAGCAATTGATAATGAGAAAGGACCACTAAATAAACTTGTATTCTGAATTTTTCAGTATTGTGAGTTAAATATTATTTCCCTTGATCCCCAAAATTTCTAAAACTGGCTCAGATAGTGCCCTGAAACTCATATGTAAGATCTATTATCTATATATACATGTGGTTGTTTATTTTTTATTTTTTGTATTCTATGAATGTCATAAGTGCCTACTCTCTTCCCCCTCCTAATACACTTTGGAGAAACATTACCCTTGAATTTACCCAATTACAGAAATTTCATGGTGGATGAAGGATAAACTGTGCTCTTGTACCAACTGTTCCGTTCTCTTTAATCGTATCTTTTCTACACTGTGTGAGAAGTAAAACCTATCCTGAAACACTGCTTTAGGGAATCATACCTCCAAAGCTGCAACAGTCACTTTAGACCTTTTATATTCTGAGTAAGCTGGACTCAGATAGTGACCTGGCATATAAAATCCAAAAACAATTGTTCAAAATTGTCATTAGGATATCTGTTGTCTCTGGAAACTATTCAAATGCTCAACTATTACTTACACTGGACACTAAACAAAAATGGGGGCTAACACAGGAAATGGCACTCTCACCCCACACTAAAGGAAACCAGAGGAAGAAAACATGGTTCATGGAAAGAAGGGGAAGATGGAAGCATGGAAAAGTGGTTGAAGCATGTCCCAGGGCTGGGGAGAGAAAGCCTGGGGGAGTCACAGCACAAGGCCCCGCTCATCTGGCTCTCAGCAAGCTGATTGATTTTGAGCTTTCTTCAAGTTCATGAATTCACTAGCCATTGGTTTTCTGTTGGGGAATTTTTCTATTGACTTAAATCCCAATAATGAATGATTCATGCTTGAATTTTTTAAAGAAAACAACATGTCCTGAGAGAAAATATCAAGAATATACTCCTTTTACTCCCTAGACAACTTCCAGGAGCATGTGATTTAAAGCCAGCTCCACTGCAAGGATATGATCCAATTGGATGGCACTTCACATAAAAGGTGACTTCCAAACAAGGCAAAATTCTAAACAAGGGATGTGCATATAGTGTGTACCTATAAATGCACACAATACTATTAACTATGATATATATGGTTATATATCTATTACTAGTATCTATATATATTATTCTCAGTTTTCTGGTTAGATATTACTTTATAAGTAATACGGACTTGGTTACAACTGTAAATCTGAAAACCAGGGGCTAGAGAAATGAACTCCATTCGACCTATGCTGAAATTCAAGCAGATGAGAATCCTAACAAAGCAGCTTAGAATGGATGACATCTCTTTTATGACTTCTATGAACGTACCATGGCATATCCAGTAACCCACCAGAGCACTGGAGAGTAAAAATGATAAATTTTTTTAAAAATCATATCCTTCTCTCAAATGTTACTTTTTTGTTATGTTACATAATATGTGACCCACTCATTCCAGAGCATGGTACATTTCCTAGAAGGAGCAGCTTGCACACCGCATGCAGAGAAGAGCCGGCACAGCACGCTGCCATTTGAAATTTCAGAAAATTCCAGCTCAGTGCAGGAATATCATTGTGCTAGCTGAAAAGTATTGTAAAGAACAAGCCATTTTGCTGGTGCAGCAAGAACCTTAGCTTAATCCATGCAAATATTCTCATATTACCTTGCAAAAAAAATCATGCATTCAAAAAGTGATAAAAGTTTACCTGGACGATCCACTTTTGTTGAAGAAATGCTCTTAGGAGGAATTATCTACACCATAAACATATGAATGTTGGGATCAGTTCCAAGAAATAAACCAACTAGATATCCAAGAGGATATGCAGTGACTTCTTGCATACCCTAGTGATTCCCAGAACTGAGAACTGTCCCACAGAGAACTGACTGGGTAACCAAGTTTATTATATCATATAAACAATAAACATAAAGTGCATTATATCCTCATGCTAGTGGCCAACAGCCCTTCAGCCCCAAGGGTTTCATTTTGTTTTGGTTTGGTTTGGTTAAGAGAAAGAGAAAAACATGAATGCATTCTTAAAACAATAAAATTTTTAAAAATACCATTTTGAAACAACAGAGTGTGCCATTTCTGCATTTCCTCTAGTATCTTCTAGTCAGTTTTCCCCAGGATCTTACAACAGTCTTTTCCTAATACTTCAAAAATATCTGATATTCCTGAAGACCTACCTTTTTATCTTTTCCCCCTTCTAAGAGAAATTTCTTTAGGCTAGCTATTCTCAGCTGTGGTAAGAGGAAAACAATTTAATTAGTCTAGTGTCTATTCACTCATAACTTATTGACAACATATTAATTATTTTCATTTTAGAAAGAGAAGGAAATTGATCTGGGGTTGTGTCACACACCTGTAACCCCAGTGGTTAGGGAGGCTGAGGCAGCAGGATTGTGAGTTTAAAGCCAGCCTCAGAAACTTAGTGAGGCACTTAACAACTCACAGAGACCCTGTCTCTAAGTAAAATATTAAAAAAGGGCTGGGGATATGGCTCAGTGTTTAAGCACCCCTGGGTTCACTTCTCAGTACCAAACAAACAAACAAACAACAACAACAAAAACACACCACAGGAAATAAAGTGTTTACTTTTAAGTTTGATTAAATAAAATAAAAATAAATTTAAAATGTTCATAATAAGTAAAAGATTTTGTTCCAGGGAACTACCAAGCAGGAAGAATAATCTAAAGCTGTACACCTGTCATCAATTTCCTCACACAGGTATTCTCAAGTAAGGGTGAACAGGCCTCTTAATTTTACACAAAAATGTGCATGTGACAAAAAGCTGGACAGGGTGGCACACACTTGTAATGCCAGTGGCTCAAGAAGCTAAGGAAGGAGGATCACAAATTCAAAGCCAACCTCAGCAACTTAGTAAGGAACTAAGCAATTTAGCGAGACTCTGCTTCAAAATAAAAATAAATGGGCTGGAGATGTGGCTCAGTGATTAAGCACCCCTGGGTTCAATCTCTGGTATAAAGCCTGCACTTTATTCAGAAAGAGAATCCATAGCTTTCATTTAATTCCCCACAAATGTCTTGCCAAGAAACTTTAAGAACTGCTGTTCTAAGTTGCTCTGAGTTTATAGATCTTTCTTTAATTTTGGAATTAAAAAAAAAAAAAAAACTTTGAACATTCAAACCTCCTCCACAGTAGTACCATAATTCCCAGCAGGGGCCACACCAGTGGCAAGACAGGGAAGGTGGTACAAGGAGGGACTGTGTAAGGACTTGGGCCACCTGTCATCCAAGTATTCCCAGTATGAACAATTACAGGCACATCACCTGGCTTTTGCCCTCTGTGAAAAAAGTTGAATATCAATCTTTTCTGTGCCATTCACCTCTGTTTATAGGTAATTCTTAAACAAATTAGAAAATTTAAAAGCTATTTCCATTTGTCCTTTCAGAAGTAGCTTTAATTAGGAAGTAGTGTTTGCTCAGTGTCAAGAGCTGTCTGCCAACAGATTCGATTGGTCTTTAAAAGTAGCAATTCTATTATTTCCCTTTAAAGTTATTAGAAGATGACAGCTCCTCGTGCTACTAAGTGACCATCAAGTACCACAAAATATTATTTCCATGGTGTCATGAGGATCACCCACAGACATGCTCAGTGACAGAGTCTGTGGCTGCCGTGAATATGATGAAAAGGCAAGACATGAAGAAAGCCTCACGTTTCTTACAGTCCTGTCACCTTCCCATTACTGCCCTCTGCTCTTTCCTATTTCATCAGTGACCTAAGGAACAGTTGCCAACAAGGCTTCCAATGCTTAAGGATTTAAGTTGTAAATAAAACACATCCTAGACGGCCCTTCTTCCTACTCCCACGCCACCCTGTCAGGTACTTTCACCCCGTCCTAAAATATTCTGCAATAATTTCTTCATTTTAAAAATAAAAAATGCTAACTTTCTAAACAAAATATTCTAATTTTTAAAGAAAACTAAGTTTCCAATCAAATGATAAAGTTACACTACTGCTCGGTTCATCATATGGTTTGCAGGAATAGATGGATTATAAAATTTTAAAGAGAATAAAATATTCATAAAGTTGCTGGAGAAGATCTTCAGATAGATTTTATATTCGTAAATCTAACATAAGCACTCCATCAGGCACTGTGATGCATCAAACTTCGGGATGAGCTGATTCTGCCATGGAAATGTAACGTGAGAACTGGACCAGAAAAGATCTTTATGATGCCAGAAGCACTCACCGGTGTGGCTGTTCCTTTTGAAATAGGTGGTAGAGCTGGATTTAGATTTGGATGTAAGATAGGTTGAGTTAGAACCAATGGAACTTGAAGACAAAGATTTTCCCAGATTGTCAGAGCTTTTCTTGATGATATTGGTAGCTGTCTTGCTCCAATCTGAGAGAAATGACATCATTCTATCAATCTCCTTTATAAGGAATATAATACGCTGTGTCCTAAAAAAATTATCAGTATATTGCTTTGCCTATCTGGAGCATCTGATTTTCTGACATGCCAACAATAGCTAGAGTAAGTTCTGAAAAGGACTGGGGATGTGGCTCAGTGGTTAAGCACTCCTGGGTCCAATCCCTGGTACCAAAACTAACTAAATAAAAATAAACAACAATAATAAACTGAAGAAACTGAAATTTCCTACTTTGAACCTGTGTACATATTATTTAAAATCTTGCATCAATATCCTAGGGTGAGAAGTAACCACAGTAATTAAAAAAAAAACAAAAAAACTTTTCTTCAAATGTTTTTAAATTGAGATATAATCTCTTCACCTAAAAATGTAATTCAGAACTTCAAAAGTGGAAAGGAGGGTCTGGTGTAGTGGATAATCTGAGCTGTCAAATTAGACATTAAATCTTATGCAAATCATTTAAGCTGCCTGGAATTCATGCTTCTCTGCAGGTAGAAGGGATGTATCCAGTGCTCTCAGATCCCCTCCAGCCCCAATATTCCAAGATTCTAGCTAAGAATCTTCACATGCTCCATTTCTACAATCTGCTCCCACTGGATCTGGGCTGCTTTGACAACAGAAAATGACTGACAAGTGTTTCCAGTTAATCTTAGATAAATACGTAATGACAAACCTGCCCCTTTACCTGAATTATCTGCTAATCGGAATCGGCCACAACAGAGATGTCGTCTCCACTGCTTCTGGACATTCTCCTTCATTGCACAGTGGAAGATAAAAATAAATAATCCTGTGACAATAGAAAATACAAACACTGAGGTCAACTGACACATTTTAAAAGATGAATCTTATAAAATATGTGTATTTGTTTTAATTTAAAGTTTTTATATCTACGTTACTAAGGAACAAAGATCCAAGGAAAGGAATCTCAAGAGTGCTTAGTAGATATTTTAATCCTATAGAAAAGAACACAATGGCTCAAATAAAACCAGAATCACTGCATGGATCTGATTTCTGTCTTTGCCTGTTCTGTTCCACATTCATTACGACTTACCTAAAAACCAAGCTGAAACAAGCTACATTCAACTTAAAAGCATTTGCTATTTCCTTTATTTCTGTCTTAAAAGCATGTGAAAACTGTTCATAGAATTTAAAAAAAAGAGAGAGAGAAAACAGAAATCACCCGTAAACTTATTGTCTGTTTCAATTTGTCTATCTTGAGCTGTTTTACATAGGTAGATTATTATAGCTATAATCAGAATATTAGGTTGGGCTTTAGAAAAATGGTTATTTCTACATGTTGTTCAAACACACCTCAAACCAGAAAAATCCTGTGACTCCACTTGGCCCAATTCAGATTTTCAACATTTTAACACAGAAACACCTCCTTATTGGGCAATAGTCTTCATATTTACAGCCACTCCCTGGGTCTATCAAACACTGTGTCACTTGTGCTTTGCAAGCCAACCCCCTTTAACCTTCTCCTTGCAGCCTCAGTTTCCCCTATTTTCTATATGAGTCGTCCCTATCACCTAATAAGCACAATCTAGTAGCTCTTTAAAAAAAACATAAAAAAATTTCCCTTAATCTCTAATCTTCTTTCAGCTTCAACTTCATTTATTTCCGCAGTAAAACTTCTTTAAGTGGTTATTACCTTGTACTGCCTCCACTTCTTTCCCACCTTCTCCTCCAAGCCTACTCCCCACAGGCTGCCATCACACCCTATGCCCTGTGACTGTTCCGAGCAGGGGGGTGTCAGCTCCCACACTGCATACTCTATTCCTGTGGCGTCTTAACAAGCCTTCGGAAGCAGCCAAACAATGGGAGAGTCCTTTGTTCTCAATGCCAATTTCTCCAAGTTTTATGGGAATTCCTTCTCTACTGCCTTAGAAGATTATTCTCCTTTACTCCTTAAAGATAACACAATTTTGTGACTAGGTCCTGGTTCTCCATCTCTCCTGGGGTTCCAGTGTTGCAGTAGAGAGTGAACTTCTAAACTACAAGAACCACATCTCTAAGGCTCAAGATTGATTTTTATGCTTGGTTCCACTTGCTTCTCTCCCCATATACCACCAGGATTCCAATGACATTGCTTCTAGGACATCTTTATCTGGCTGTATCTCAAACCCCAGATGTTGTGAACTGAAGGTTCCTCCACATGACCCTCGAACCACTCTTACCACCTTCTGTTTCTCAGTGTAGCAGGTTCATTCCTGCCCAATATAGTGCTGAACACTGTCTTCAGCTCTCTCAAAAGCTGTTTCCTACTTCTCATTCAGGTCTTGGATCAACTGACGACTGTTGATAAATGTTTCCATTTAACCTCTTCTCGCCTCCTTTCACATACCTGTTTTCTTTTGAGCACTGAATAGTGCTCGATAGTCTTATAGCCCTCATATATATATATTTTTGCTTGATTGTTGTTTCCTATTAGAATATAATAAGCTCCAAGAGAACAGAGATATTTGTCTATTCAACACTAGGCTGCCTATTCCCAGGACGATGTCAGGCACTATGCAGCAACCCAAAGAATGATCACTGAATGAATAAACCATGGCAGCCATAATTTAACAATCATCAAGTCTACATGAGCAGATTCCAATTTTACATGTGTTTGAAGGTGGGAGAGCACTAAAAGTAGGACTGAGCAGTGCACAGAATAGGGGCTGATGGAAATACAATGAAAATAGATTGAAGATTGATGTTTCTGGAAAGCCCATCAATGAGTTGCTGAGGTTCTGCCCTAATAATCTGCCACATATCCACATGGGGAGAGCTCTCTAGGGGGTCTGAGGCTTGAACTGAGCTTTTGAGTAGGGAGGTGAAGAAAGTTTCCAAGAAGGGTTATTCATTCAGTGACTAATTATACAGCTCTGCTAAGTAGGAAGCACTGTGTTTTAGGAATTGGAGGGTCAATCATGAACAAGGTCAACAATCCTAGTATTCATGGAGTCAAGGGTCTAGCATGGAATGGCATACAAGTAAAAAATACTGAAGCTCTTTCACTGGATAATTTAAATTTACCTGTTCCTTTTGACTATGAAGAAATCTCAAAATGACATTGTACTTGTATAAGTGAAAAAGTGGGAAAAAGTATTCATGTATATCTCTTTTGATATGTATAGTTAAATTTGCAAAATAGGTCCAAGGTTACACTTCCATGGTTTGTTTTTTTTTAATATCTTAAGTCAAAATGGCCCAAAGTTTTATTTTAGAAGAAATTACATTAATATGAAGAGGACGAGTTGCTAGATTTCTACAGGATGGGCCCTGCACACAGTGAAATGGCTCTGGTGGATTATCCTCTCGATTAGCTTCTCTTTGGCCATCGATGATCCCTGGTACAGTGCCTGGCACTTATGAGGTACTGGTTACAAAGTCTTACTGAAATTACTGAAGTTTGATTAACTTTTGCTTTGAAGAGAAATGTTACTATGAAAATGCTCACTATATTTTTTTTCACTGATTTCAAATATATAAATAGCCCTTCACAAAGTTACTGGGAGGTTCCAAGCAAATTTATCTCCAAGAGGTATAATTAAGGCATTCAGTGACTAAAGTGAAATAATACTGTCATGATTTTTATTATTATTACTATCATTTTATATGTAGCCATATATATATATATATATATATATATATATGTGAAACTACTGTTTTTTTATTTTGTTATTTATATATAGCTATGTAAATATATATTATGTCATTTTCTTTATTGGTAATAAGGTAATTAGTGAAGGAACTATATCCTAGCAACCTATTTCTTTTGTCTGAAATGTTATCTCAGGGTAGGGAAGTTCTAATTTAACAAAAGGAAAACTCTATAATAAACATGAAACAAATTTCAGTTGTTCAGAAAGCCAGCAAACAGGCCAGGCCCTTCCTGAAGCTCCCTGTGCTGCCGTTGGGAGGAAGAGCTCTCAGGAGGCACCTGCTTGCATGCCGGCCTGGCCTACGTAAGTGCAGAAGTCTCAGAGTAAGGAACGATTTTCTTCCACAGACAGATAGCTTCAGAAGCAGGCTACTGGGGCTGTCCTCTCTGGAACAAGGGAAAAGACACCACTGGCCCAACCTCATCTTTACACTCCAGATGGCTGAATCTGACTGTTTTTCAACAGCTTCCCATATAGCTACCAAATTTCCTAACCAGTTTGCTATTGCAGAAAATTATTTTAATAAGCAAACGTACTTTGTCTGACCAATAGTGTAATAAAGCAAAAGTGTATAAATAACTTGAGCAGGTTAATAGATCCTTTTAGGTTGTTCAAGAGCTGGTGGAAGTTATGGAGTGAAAGTGGAGGAAGAGGAAGCCTAAGGGAAAGTCAATAAAGGCTGTTGGTAGAGGAGGCTCCAGGGCCACTTATTATGGTTTAGCTTCCACCCATATCAGAGAAAACATTTCACCTTTGGTGTTTTGGATTGGCTTATTTCACTTAGCATGATACTCTCCAGATCCATCCATTTAGCAGCAAGTGCCATAATGTCATTCTTCTTTATGGCTGAGTAATACTCTACTGTGTACATACACCATTTATTTGTTGAAGGATGCCTAGGTTGGCTCCATAGCTTAGCTATTGTTGAATGTGCTGCTATAAATATTGATGTGGCTGTGTTACTGAAGTATGCTGATTTTAAATACTTTGAATATATACTGAGGAGGGGAATTACTATGTCAAATGGTGGTTCCATTCCTAGATTTTTGAGCAATCTCTATACAGCTTTCCAAAGTGGCTACATCAATTTGCAATCCCACCAATAATGTCTAAGTGTACCTTTGCCCCCCATCCTGGCCAGCATTTATTGTTACATATATTCGTGATAATTACCATTCTGACTAGAGTGAGATGAACTCTCAATGTAGTTTTGATTTGCATTATCCAGCTCATATATATGGGAGGAAAAAAACTTCTGAGGTTGTTTGTGTCTGGTGTTTTGAGGACACTGGAAGAAACCTACATCACAGAATTGCCTTTCTAGCCTTGCTGGGAGCTAAAGCATGAATTACTCTGAGATTCAAATGCTAACCCCAGTCAGAAATTATGAGGTTAAAAGTAAAATAAACTGACTTAACAAAACATTTTTTTAGGTTATGTAATGCCGCTCTAAATCACAATTACATAATATGAGATGACATTGAATATTTTTAAGCAACCACAATTGCTTGTAAATATACAGGCACCAAAACGTTTCAGAGATAATGGTATGTAAATTAGATTAAAAATCTGAAACAGCTCCTCTAAGATTATGTAACAGAGAGAGTTCGCATAAAAGCTCCATATTTCACTAGGAATTGTGATGCTATGGATAAAATTGGGTAACAAGCATGAGAAGTTAGAATTCTTAGAAATGAATACATTTAAAATCCTAAGGTACTACATTTATTATATAAATAGGGCGAATTCTTTAGCCTTGAGATACATTTCCATTTTATTTATTTATTTTTTTTTTAATTTTTTATTGTTGGTTGTTCAAAACATTACAAATTTCTTGACATATCATATTCCACACTTTGATTCAAGTGGGTTATGAACTCCCACCTTCACCCCATACACAGATTGCAGAATCACATCAGTTACACATCCATTGATTTACATATTGCCATACTAGTGTCTGTTGTGCTCCGCTGCCTTTCCCATCTTCCACCATCCCCCGTCCCCACCTCTCCCCTCCCCTCCCCTCCTCTCTCTCTACCCCTCCACTGTATAATCCTGAGGGTCTCCTTCCATTTCCAAGCAATTTCCCTTCTCTCTCCCTTTCCCTCCCACCTCTCATCCCTGTTAAATGTTAATC